CTTTGTGCATAATTGTGAGACTCCCTCTTTATAAATTACAAGTTCTGTCAGATCAGGCAGTCACATCTGTTCGTACGATGTTATGAAGCCTGAGCATGTTATCGAGTTACAGACCAACCTTTGTGGCTTCACCTTGTATTATTAAAGGGACATTTTGTAACAGGTCAATATATGATATGATTTGCAGCTAAGAAGATGAAAACACATGATCACAACAAATCACAAGAAAACTATAATAAGCATTAACTGTTGACGTTTGCTGGGCATTCTGCTGTGGAGAAAATGAGTTCAGACATGAATTTCCTCATGTTGCATGTAGAACTGCACTGAAAAAAAAAGCAGTTGTATTACCATGAAAAACATGCACATCTCATGTTTATTTGACACCACTGTATTTAGCTACCTAATGTTAAACCAACATAATTATGCAATTTGAATACTAATTTCTACTATTATATCTGTTAAACCAGATTGCAAACATGTTTGCAATTTATGAGATCTTATTAATTTCAAACAACACTGACATTTGTCAATATTACATGCATTTTGTAAATCCTTATATATCCTTATATTTACTAAAAACATCCAAGATATAAATCTTAAACATTTTTTAAATTATTTATTTAATTTAACCTTTATTTAACCAGGAATGTCCCGTTGAGATCAAAAACCTCTTTTTCAAGGGAGTCCTGGCCAAGAGGCAGCACATTTCAAAACAAATACATACGAACAAACAAAGTTAAAATTACACAAAACAATTACACATTATTGAGGCAGTCTGTAGGCCTTTGAGTTTAGTTTTTAAAAACATTTAAAGACATTATAAAAACAGTAAGTACCAAGTATCTATGTTTAAATACAATCCTAAAATAAGCAGCTAGAGAAGCCAGATTTTGGTCCTTGGTTCCTTTGTTGATTATGTTAGTTCCCTTTTTTGCCAACGCTCTCCTCGTCTTTGTCTTTTGTCTCCCGTGTGAAGTCCATCTTTCATTGTGTGTCTTTCCTGCCTGTCTGCATTGATGGTCTCTTGTTTCATGTGCATTCAATACTTATTTTATCTGCCGTATTTGTACTGTCTCGGTCTCGCTTTACCCTTTGTCAGAGCCTGTTCTACCAGAGGTTTCTTCCTGTTAAAAGGAAGTTTTTGCTTCTCACTGCCAGGCGCTTGGTAATTTTAGGCCATTTTATTGATAGGGTTTTCTTACAAAGTAAAGGAAATACTTTGTATCAATAGGTAACTTCACATCTGAGCAGACAAGTATCACATGTGGAGTTCCCCAAGGTTCCATCTTGGGACCCCTTCTGTTTAACATTTACATGCTCCCACTGGCACAGATTATAAAGAACAACAAAATAAACTACCACAGCTATGCAGATGACACACAAATATATATCAC